ATTTAATGTTTATAAAATGTTTCTATTGTTATTGTTACCAAAATATTACTCTATATAAAAGTTTACTTCCCAACATTATATTTTAATATTTTACTTGCACTTTCCGTACAAGATGATTAACTGCCATTCCGATGAACAATAATGAGATTAAATAATTGAAATGTATTTAAATTGAGGTGTAATACTACTCTTCTACACTACAAATATATTTTTAATAATGTTTTTGTAACGTACATAAATATTTTTTTTTAATTTTCTTCTAATAAGTATAATTGAAGACTCAGAGTCAAAATGACTCCGCTGGTCGTTCTGGGGGCTATTGATTTACTCTCGCAACTTTTCTTGAGCGAGGACCTTGCTTCCCCCTCTCTGGCCCAACAGATGAAGGCAAAAATTCGCAGCGAGCACTGATGACAACATTCCAAACACATCTTCACTGGCGCGAAATAGAAACAATTTTCTTTTGAAGACGAGAACTTCTATCCGTTATTTTCTCCAAAAATCTAAAGGAAAAACCAAAGCAAATAAAGATCTATCACAGGAGATACCCCGAACTCCTGAGAAAGTTAGAACGCAAATTATTGAAAACGTTACGAAGGCGTGACTGATTCTCCAGAGATTGGCATTACTTCATAAAATCTAGTGGCCGATTTCGTAACTAATACTCCCACTCTACCCGCATTTCTTCAATCCATCGTTCAAGAAAAGTTGCGCGCGTAATAAGCCTGGCGTTCTAGTTAGAATATTTTTTTCAAGCGGAATTTCTTTGAATACTTGTTTTCTTTCAGGTCGTGGTAATCTTCTTTTAATAATTTTAAATATTGATTGCGACACTTCTCTGGTGTAAACTATTCAGAAGGATGGCCTGGATCTTTGTATATTTGCAGGATATTGCTGGCTAATTTCCTAATAAGCGAATATTTTATTATATAACCTATAGATACATTGGTTCTCCATTTCAGCAAGACCTACAAATTTTCTCCTCTGAGCTTCAAAATTGTTGTTAAGGATAAATCCTCGCGTTCTCCGTAGTTGTTGAGGAGGATTTTCTGGCTTCATTTCTTCAAACTTAATTATTTTAGTGCAATGCAATGATCACATATTACATTCCTACAGGTAAACACGATACCGACGCTAAAATCAATAATAGGAAATATGCAATAACATTGGGGTACGTACCATCTGGGGCTATCATTTTATTTGTTGCCACTTAACCTATTAATTCCAGGTTTTTCAGGAATTGAAATTAGTTTGCACTGTAACAAATAACCATATTGTTAAGTCTCACATATCAACAGTTAATTTTGTATTTTAAATTTTTTGAATAAATACAGAACACTACGAAATAAACATTCATTTCCAAAATAGATCATAAAAAAGGAATAAAATCCATTCGCGTAGGACTCAATTTGATAATAAAATTAAGACCCCCCTTAAATAAAAATATATCACAAATATAATTGTTCACATTTAACTAAAACTCAAAGTATGAACTAACAGTTCAATGTCAATGCGTCGAGTTACGTCAATTCCGTAAACAAACATTACACAATTCGACTGAAGAACACCGACAACTCTCGCCTGTTACTCCGCCGCCATTGCCACTCCGCTTGACGCGTGTAGAGTGAAACAAAACAGGCCGCCGGCGCACGGCGATTATGCACAACAACATCACCCTTACATTTAAACATTAATTCTAAGTAAGAACTTAATATTTTGTATCATGACCCATATCTCGATTAAACAAACACTACACAACCGTCTAGCCACTACATTACTCGTTAACTCGACTTCGCTGCGCTGTTAAGCCGCCGCCATTACCACACAAATAAGTAATATTATTGTGAATTTGAAATTCTTCAACTATCGCAATTTTTTAATATTTTATAAAACCAACATATCGTTATAAAATGAAACTATTTTATTTAGTATGCTGAAACAAAATTTGTATTATGTTATAAAACAAAGTATTGAATACTATACTTCAGAATATGTCCTAAAAGTTATACCACAATAAAATAATACATATGAAATAAACTTATGAATAGCTAACATCTCTATTTTCAGAACTACATATTTAATTCGCTATTTTTTACATTGCAAATTCACTTCTCTATGTTGACAATCCTATTATTAATAATACTAGGTTGACCACACTTATTAAGTTTTTAATTCTTTGTGTAAGTTTATAGGTAGAAAATCAAAAAATAATAAAACCTAGGCCATATGGGGACAATATTCTTATTATGTTTTAAATTCTTAACCCATAAACATATACTATGAATTAAAAAATAATATAAAATAGTTGGTGGACCTGTCATATGGGGTACCATTCCTTCAAAAGCTTGTGGTACGATAAATTTTGTAATAAGTCCTATTATCAATATATTCTTCTATTCTCATTTCTTAATGATGTCTGGTAGTGATTTGATAAACTTTACTTAACTTTACTTCTTGTACAAAACTTTATACTTATTTTGGTTTAAAAATTGGGTGAACACTTTTTTATATATTCAAGTTTATTTCAAGTTAATAGTACCTCCCCTTTTATCACTGTGTAAAATAATAACATTTGATATATTGTAAGGAAGACTTAAGTGAATTTCAAGACGTCAATTGTCTTCTTTCAATCTTTATTCAGTTTAATTTTATTATCTACAATTTTATTAATGACGATTTTATTTGTTTGTTTATATGTTTCTCGTCACTTGTATCTGTATTTGGGAAATGAATGTCGAAATTTTAAAATTCTTTCATGGTATTTATAACCATGTCTTTTTTCATCCTTTTCAGTTATAGTAAAATTAAATGAATGGCCAAAGTTAATGCTGTTTTATATATTATTCAAATATTTATACCAATTATCAAACTTTTCATGATCTAACTTACTAACACTTCTCTATATTCTACCAAGTTTATTTACTAACTTATTAACACTTTTTCTTTTCTGAGTAGTTTTTGGGTTCAGCTAGTGAAATGTGACCTTCGCAATGACCTGCATGTGGCTAGCCTTGTATATTCATTGCCAAACTGCCTTCTTGAAGCTGTCTTCCAATCTTTTGCATTGTCTACCGGGATGACGCCAGCTAATTCATGGTTCCCATACCATAGTAGCATATGATCACCGATGAACCTGTTGCCTGATGACATGGCTGCCCTGCTTCAATTTTGCACAGCTGCTTGTTCTGTTGCATCTTTTATCTTGGTCCTGTTTCTTATTTCTGTACGGGTTATATGGTCTTTCAAAAATCTATTGAGGATTTATTTTCTTTTCCTTCTTTCTCTGGTATCTGGAAAGTTGCCAGTTTTTTGTTGTTATTAATCACCAAGTTTGGCACTCATAAATTAAAGTGGGTAATATCCAGGAGTCTAATTTATTTTTATTTTAAGACCTAATTTTTTGTCAAGTAAAATGAAAGATTGGCTCCAGAATTTTTGGTGAGCCAGAGTGATTCTTCTATTTAATTTCACTGATAATTCTGTTATCAAAAAATATAAAGTGGCCTATATAAATGTATTCGGATACATACTCTGATTTACTTTCACTTTTATTGTATTTTCATTGTGGTTAGTCATGATTTTAATTTTATTTAGGTTTAATCGAAGTCCTACCTTTTGACGTTCATTGTTTAACTCTTCTAACATTTGCTGAATTGTATGGTGGGAGGTTGCCAATAGAATAATGTCATCTGCAAACTTGAGTTTGTTTAATCGTATTCCATTTATTGAAATGCCATTGTCTTTCCAGTTTCATTTTCTGAAAACTTCTTCCATCAAACTAATGAAAATTTTGATTGACTCCAGTTTTGATCTTAAATACTTTTCCTTCGATATCAGTCTTCACGCTTGCTGAGCTGTCAACTTCAAGTGTCTAATGTATTTGGATGGAACCTCCCGGCTTTGTAAGGCATTAAATGCAGGCACAAGTTCTACTTTCTTGAAAGCTTTATGAAAATCTACAAAGGCAATGTACAGCTTCAGATTATACTCTTCGACTTTTTCTGTTATTTCCTTAATAGCTTGGAGGTGATCCTTCGTACTATACACCTGCTTGTTCTGATGATTGCTGTTCCTCTAGTATGTGATTCAGTAAAAACTATGAGTTGATTAAATAAACCTATTAATTTATCTTTATCATAAGTCTAAGATTATTAAGAAAAATATATTTGTCATCTACTGCAAACTTCAAGAATTGTAAGTTAAGCTTAGGTCGACATCTGGAATAGGACCTTTGGACTTTACCGTTGTCACATTGTAATTTACTATGATTATTAATAATTAAGTTTGAAATGTAATCTAATTTAAAAAAGCACGTTGGAAATGTGCGTGATTGAATTCTGTGCAATTCTTTGCTTACTAGAAGAAATAAGAAAATAAAATAAAAAATGATTTTGTCTTTAATAAAAATGGAATTGTTCAACTTAATAATAAATATAGATATCACATAATATTAAGTACATTCTCTTTCTGATGATTTACACAGCAAAAAAACTCTCTGTTCACTAAAACCAAATATGAGGATTGTTACTATTTCAAATAAATGAAGCTTTTAGCATAAATTGAATAAAATTTAAAGTTTAAATGAAAAGATAATATATTATTACAAGACCCCAGAAGTTCAGGTATATAATTTACCTATAATAGGTAGGCAAAAAGACATTTATTTTTATTAAAATAGGCATGCAAACAAGGCATTTATTCTGCCTAAAGGAGGCAAAAACACAGAAAACATTGAAAAATCATAATTTCAAACTAATTATTTAAAAAAATGATTAATGAAAAAGATTCACATTTTTATTCTAATTACAAAATTTACACTAGCGCTTATTTGGAAAGAAACCACCTTTCTTTGTAACCTTGATTGAATATGACCATCCAGTATGATGACTATGAGTTTATTTTACTCACAATGCTGTCTCTACAAAATACTCTTGTATACTCTGTTTTGAATCTTGAAATGGTAAGAGTGAAAATGGAAATATAGATTTCATTCTTCGCAGTTTTGTAATCATTAGAAGAGAAAAGAGACAAGAAGGAGCTGAGAAAGATGTATCATGTGCAAACAGCTGTCCTCAAAAGGGATTCAAGCTCATACACAAACATAGGATTAGATTGCTTCTGAGCAAACAAGTCTGTCAGCATCAATGAAAAATGAAAAAATCTTCACTGGTATCATCTTCCTTTCCCTTTTTGATTTTTAACAAGACTTGACACTGGGGCCTCGGCATCCGCAGAAAGACTATACAAGACCATGCCTTCATGTTGTCCAGGCTTGAGGGTATGTTTCCAGCATGATAGAGCACGGAAAAGGCACAACAACAACAACAACAACAACAACAACAAAAAAGCCAATACCAATATTAAAAATACATTTTGCTAGTGTTCAGATGAAATCAGTTATTTGTTATATCCATCTTTTTAAACAGTAAATTTTGAACAGACTGCACAAAAAATATTGACAGTTTTCAGCAAGAATGTTTTCATACTACATTAAAAAACTATTTCCAACATCAAACAATGCAACATATTTAAAAAATTGACTAATAGACCTACTTACTGTTAACTCTGAGTCATTGTCTTTAAATGAAAGTTTCTCTCCACATGAACAGCCGGAATTAATAACAATTCAATTTAGAATAAGCATTCCAGAAAAAATCTATTAATGATCAGTCACTAAGGAGAAAAATGTTAACAAAATATTTAATCAAAGAGAACATCAAACATGTTCAGGATGCAGAATAAAGATAATGACTAAAAAATAAAGTAAAAATATCCTTTCAATTTCAAAATGATAAAAATACCACTACAAATACATCTCAAAAGTCTCACATCTTTGATAATCTGGCATTGTAACTATTGTTCTTCTGCATTTCTAGAAGCCACACTGTTCCTAATCTAAATGTTTGTTTTCAATCTACCTGTTTTCAATCTATTTCTCCGCTCTGATTTTAATGAATATTTATATACTTATAGTTTGTGTTCTGCTGCTTGCACTGTAATTCTCCTCTAATTCTCACATTTTAGGTTTGAGCCTTTCTTGTATAAATCGATTACCATTCTATATCTGGCACAGTTGTGACGTTTAATTCTATCTATAGTTCACCATCCTCATTTCATCAATACCATATATATGTGGATTTTTCTGTTTCATGGGACTTACTTTCTTTTGTGGCACTTCTTCTAAATTCTTTAATTTTGATCTCTGGGAGTTTAACATTTTAGATAATTTTCTACCATGTTTTTTTAATATTTCTAATTGTACTTTCCTTATTTCTGAAATTTGGTTCTCATCTATAGAGAATTACACTTCTTTTTTGTAATTACTTATATAAATAAAAATAATGGTGTTTTTATTTGTATCAAAAATAAAATAAATATTTTGGAAAATAATTTAAATACATTAGGAAAATTATTGCATCATTACCTGAGTTGATTACTGAATCTGTTAATTCTACAATACATCAAGCTAGATATCACACAACATTCCTATTACTAACAGCAGTTATTTGAAATCCAATAAAAATATTTTAAATAATTTTATAATTGGTTACATGATATATGATGTCTTTACAGAAAAGAAAGTCCTTATTTGTTTTCTTTAATTTAATTTCTAAAAGATATGTAGATAATGACTTAGCCATTATTCCTACAGCTGAAGTTCTTAATCTCCTTGATGCATATAATTCCTATGATTCTGTAATTCAGATAACTGAGTTAATCACTATATTTTTGAAACCTTTCAATATATTTGCAATTTGTTGATTGTTCTACTAATTGGTTTAGTAAAAGTTGCTTTAAAAAACCAGATGCTCTACTCAATTATTCTACTTGTCAAATTCGATATAAGAGGGGGATATTTATAGTTTGGTGAATTGTGCCTTTAAACTATCTGTTGAACATTATCTATGTCAACTGGAATTAGAATTATTTTAAAATGGCAGCACTGACATAGGGATAGATGTATTTAGTGATCATATGAGAAGGAACCAGTTTTTATATTCGACATTGCTAAGAAGTTGCCTACTTATAATTGGGATAACTTACAATCTTAATCAGTAATATTTGATATCTTTGATTTATTTATAACTTGACAGTTTACTTGTGCTAACAATAGTAATTCTGATGATGATAAAACTACTTTGATGACTTTCATCCCAAACATTCTCAGTAAGTTTATAAAAGATTTAATTATCAACATCAGCATTTGACTATCAACATCAAAATTACGACGACTTTTAGTAAAAAGCAACAACTGATTAGAAATGATAAACAATCTGTCCTATTTGTGGAGAATGAGAATGTAATTGATTGTGCACTATCTTTGAATTCTTCTTGATGTATACAGACCACACAAAATAGAGAAACAAAGAATGAAAGTTCTTGAAAATAATATGGAATTCAGCCTAAAATTGAATTCTATCTCAAGGTGTAGAAGTGACATGTCACATACATTTGATTTACAATATTCTTTTATCTTAGACAGGGATCCTAGAAAATATCCATGTCTTATAACTCCTCAGAATAACACATTCGATCCTGAGGGTTAGGACACATGGTTAACTTATGTATCCTGGACTATATATTGTATACAAAACGTAAAACAAAAACTATCATACTCATGAGTTATAAATTAATACAATCTTGTAGTGTTGTATTTTTCCTTTAAGTCACTATGCATTTTATGTTCATTTCATTATAAGAAGGTAATGAGAATGAAATTCAAAAAAACACAAGTTGTCAATTTTATATTTTTTCGTAAAGTAACAATGTTACAAAATATGGGGAGGAATGCAGTGCACTTTATGTGTCAATAATACTGGTGCATTACAATTATATTTTGTTGAAGTTCAGTTATAGTTTCACTTGCATATGTATGTATTTCTGCCTTTATTTTACGAAATATATTGTGGTAAAAAATGTATATGATAATGTTCTTTCAAATATTAAATTGTCTTATAATCAGTCACAATAACTCTAAATATTGTGAATTTGCCCTTTTCTATATTTAACTATTGCAATTATTTATATTTTTTATTAATTTAAAAGTGTGATCCCACGAGATATTTTCCCCTTCCTCAGTTTCCTTCATCCGATCCTTTCTGCCATCACATTTTTACCTCCATCTACCCAGATCCTACCTCATTCTTAACCACCACTCTGATCACTTGTTTTTTGGGAAATGCTGACACATTCTCTCAATACAAGTATTTACTATATGATGTCATTATTCAATTATTCTTGAATTGATCACCATGAATTTTATTATGCTAGTTGTTTCATTGCATTCAAGTGTGGTAATTCCTCTACTTGGACATAAATGTAATGTTCTCAATTTTCCGCTTTGTATAGTGTATAATGTTAAGATTATTATAGGCTAAATAGACTAATGACACTAAGAGTGGCTATTGAGCAATAGTGTGGATCCTTCAAGCACCAAAAGTTAAAAAAAAAATGGTGGCATAGTACTTCAATTATGGTCTCAATTATTATTTTCAATAATTTTGTAGTGATTTAGATAAATATTTTTGCAATATTAAGAAGCATCGTTGAAGTTTGGGCTGCTTTGGGATGCTGGGCTATCTACAGGGTAATTCGGGCGTTCTAGTGTTAAAAACACGCTGAAAACATCATATTAAATTTGGCATTACAGTAATGTAACATGAATTAGAACAGTTTTGGACTTTTCTGGTCTCAAACCCGTTCTGGGAATGTCGATTGGCCATTACCGGTCAAGTTTCTGAACCCTACCAAAACTTTTCATTTTTCAACTGGTCACTACCGAAGCACGGTCGGGATTTAGGAATAATTTATTAGAAAATAGAAAAAACAATCGAAAGAAAACGAATTTAGTATTGACGAAACGAATGTAAGAAAAAAATGTTCAGCTCCAAATTTACAAGTAATTTGTTAATTAAAAAAAAATGTTTACGAAACGTTATTCTGTTACAGTTAATCGTTGTTTACTAAATCTAGAGAAAGTTTTCCTGAAGAGGGCCACAACTCTTTTTTGCTTGGGGGCCGCTCATCCTCCTAAGCTTCCGCCCCGTCCTCCGAAGTTCCTCCGAGCGACCACGCAGCGTTGTCGCAGGGGCCTCCCAACGTCGTTCTACCGTCCTCATCAGAGGGACGGACACCCACCCTCCTCGCGCCTTCTCAGCGGCCGCCCCGCGGGTGTGCGGCCGCAGGTGCATTCGGGGACCTCGCAAATAGCCCAGGTCCCATGGACCGTTTCGCTCGAGGCCCCTTCTACGCGGCGAACATTATGGTAGGGGAGCTGGCGGACGAAGCCTCTGACGTCACGGCTCGGACGTAACATGACCCATAGAGCATCATGGCTCTGCAGGAGCACCTCTTCGCTTGACATGGAGGCCGCGCGTGAATTTCCTTGAGATGTCTTTGACCTGGCTGTGGAGTTCTTGGACTGCATAGGTGGCGCGCTCTTTAATGAAGCCTCTGACGTCACAGCTTGGGCGGAACATGAGACACGTTGTTCTTTCTCTTGGCTCCGCAGGAGCACCTCTTCGCTTGACATGGAGGCCGCGCGTGAATTTCCTTGAGATGTCTTTGACCTGGCGGCGGAGTTCTTGGACTGCATAGGTGGCGCGCTTTTTAATGAAGCCTCTGACGTCACAGCTCGGGTGGACTATGAGACACGCCGAGCCTCCTGCTGGCTTTGTAGATGCACCTCTTTGCTTAGCATGGAGGCCGTGCGGGAGCTGTACTTGAGACGTCTTTGACCTGGCGGCGAGGGAGAAGTGGCATCTTGCGAATGCGGAGGTGGCGCGCACTTTGACGAAGCCTCTGACGTCACAGCTCGGACGTAACATGATCCATAGAGCATCTTTGCTCTGCAAGAGCACCTCTTCGCTTGGCATAGAGGCCGCGCGTGAATTTCCTTGAGATGTCTTTGACCTGGCGGCGGAGTTCTTGGACTGCATAGGTGGCGCGCTCTTTAATGAAGCCTCTGACGTCACACACGAGGAGGAACATGAGACTCGCCGACTGGCTTTGTAGATGCACCTCTTCGCTTGGCATGAAGGCCGTGCGGGAGATGACCTTCCGACGTCTTTGACCTGGCGACGGTGGAGAAGTGGCATTTTGGGACTGCGGAGGTAGCGCACTCTTTGACGAAGCCTCTGACGTCACAGCTCGGGCGGAATATGAGACACGCCGAGTTTCTTGCTGGCTTTGTAGATGCACCTCTTCGCTTGGCATGGAGGCCGTGCGGGTAATGTCCTTGAGACGTCTTTGACCTTGCGGCGGTGGAGAAGTGGCATTTTGCGACTGCGGAGGTGGCGCGCTCTTAGGTGAAACCTGAAACGTCACAGTCGGGTGGAATATCAGACACGCCGAGTCTCTTGCTGGCTTTGTAGATGCACCTCTTCGCTTGGCATGGAGGCCGCGCGGGACATTTCTTTCAGATGTTATTGACCTGACGGCGGTGGAGAAGTGGTATCTTGCGAATGCGGAGGTAGCGCGCTCTTTGACGAAGCCTCTGACGTCTCAGACCAGGAGGAACATGAGACACGCTGAGTCTCTTGCTGGCATTGTAGACCTCTTCGCTTAGCATGGAGGCCGCGCGGGAATGTCCTTGAGACGTTTTTGACCTGGCGGCGATGGAGCAATAAATGGCGTGTTGCGGCTGCGGAGACGGCGACCCTTCGGCGACGCAATGCCTTAGGAGAGTGCGGGTGGCTGGGTCATACTTGCGTTTTCTTGCACAGCAAGGATTCCCAACATTATTTCATCGACCCCTTTGAATATAATGTTTTCTTCGTCAATCCCCTTACGTTTTCTCTACAATAAACGGAACCCATAATCATGACACAAAGAATGGTACGTAAAGGCCTTAAAGATAACAATTTTGTTTCCCAATATTCTCATAAACGTCTGGCTTTTTACTTGCTTGCTACCGTTTACGCAGTAGAAAGAAAGGTATTTAATTATGCGCGAAAAAATGGCGAATTTTCGGCAGAAAGACTCTTATTGCAGGGCCCTGGGAACGGGAAATTGGATAAATACATTTACTAAATTAAAGGACCCTACACACGTTCCAATTTGTCGGGCCGACCGGCAAGTCTATGCGGCAAATTGCATCGTGTCGTGCAAGTCGTCCAACAGATTTTTTTTTCGGGCGGTTGGTTTGTCCTGACTACACGGCCGTCATCAATCATACTGCCAGACATATTGTGTGGTGTGTAGAAGTGTTGGGCCAACTTGCAGTGATTCCCGACCTCAAGAGGTTGGATCAAATGTGAAACAGTTGTTTAATTGAAACGTTATTTGATACTTGAGGGTTTTGGAGGCATCGAGAAATAAAATTACGGATCAAATTTGGCAGAAAAATAATTAAAATATAAAATGCAAATTTCCCTTCCATATCGTTAAAGTAAGCGAATTTTGACAATAATTATAAGAATGAAAGCAACATAAAGAAAAGTAATTGATTTTATTTATAAATTGTTGAAATTTCATACAATATCATTAGAAAATCATTATTAAACGGTTTAAAAATTCCCTTTATTCAAACACGTGCCAGCAATGCAGTTGCAGCGAAATGCAACAACTTTTTTGATTTTGAAAGGTAAAGGTAAGAAAATTGCAAATTTGACTGTAGAATTATTATGTACTATAACACATGTTTTTTCAGAATTTATCATTAATTTTTCTCTTCAGAAATTAACAAATATATACACTTGAACTAAATCTTTTATTTTACTCATCTAATATTTGTGCAATACCTTATGTTAATCTGATGGCATTTTTTGCTGCCGTAATAGAACACGGTTGCACGTGGTTAGCTTTAGATTAAGATTTACATTTTCGTCGAAAAACAGTAAAATCCATATGTAACGTATGGAAGAGAAGATCATGTGCACACGTTTTCTTGGGTTCCAGAATTCCTTCCCATAATTTTAACTGTAAATAGTTGAATGATGAGTATAAGTTAAAGATAAATAAATAAATAAAAATAAAATTTAAAATGCCCGAGATTAGCATTACTTGGAAAAAACTAGACATTTTCGTTACCGAATTATACAAAAATCTTATTTGCTTCGGTAAACGAATTGCAGGTATGATTTTTCTACATTGCTAGCAAAATAGTCACCCGCCCTTACCTCTAGTCCAACCTTTACAAGCAAAAGGAGAGTTCGCATAGTGAAGCTACATTTACGCCCAGAAGTAAAACAAATGGCCATCTCAGCATTTGCTCAATGGATCATGGAAACATGACAAAAACCTAATCGAGATGAGTGTCATTGACCCGGAAGTGGAAGTAAATTACTTGTTACAAACATATTAAGTCTTTTTAAAAAAAGTTATTCAATGCAAATGTAAACTAATTCGTTGTAAATCACTGTTTTGCTAAAATATACATTAATGTTTCTTTCTTATGATCAGTATAGTCTCTAATAGTAAAGAAACAGTTATGCAGCAGAAATTATATTACTTTTAAATTATATTTGTGTACTGTTACAATTGTTTAATGTCATCTGACAATGCGTTGTAAAGTAACGTACATGTATTGTATGAGGATTTCTGACAGTGAGCTGTTGATACTGTCACTGGATGTAAGTGATTTCAACGACGTGTGTTGTAAATATAAATATCAGTATTGCATGAAAATATGTTCTCGCCGTTAAGTAAGTCACTTTTGACATATGTTACAGATTCGTAAATAAATAGGCTAGCAGTAGTAAGATTGCAAGCTCAATGAAGAGAAGTTTGCAAGGATAACGCGAATGGCATTTTTTCATTATTCGAATAATTTTCTTTTGCAATCTAAATGTCTGAGTACTACATAATGAGCTTCCCCAGAATCCTATGCTGTATTTCGGGCGGAAATGCACATTTGCAAAATACACGCAAGGAGCTGCATGAAGGCAGACTGACTTTGAATATAAATATATATGTATGAATTTTGTTACATGTACATTCCATTTGAGGTTCGTCTGCATTGAAAGACCTATAAATTTTTCTACGTGAACATCAGCTAATTGCATATTGTTCAGTTTCAATGGACCATGTGATTGCTAATTTGAAATGCAAAAATATATCGAAACTCTTTTTCCTTCGTTAACAATTAATTTGTTATTACAAAACCGATTTGAAACTTCTGAAATCGTACTATTTATTGTTTCTTTTTTGCAAAGAACATTCGTGTTATCGGCAAACAGAATTATGTTTGCGTTTTTCATAGATAAGGGCAAATCGTTTAAGTATAACAGAAAGAGGATGGGACCTAAGATTGGAACCTTGCGGGACCCCATATTCAATTGATAAAGAATTGGAAAGATAAGTAAATAATGTCCTTTCGTGCCAGTATGGTATTTCAACTTTTTGTGATCGATATGTAAGGTACGAGGGTATCCAATCTAGGGCGATACCACGAATTCCAAATTAAGCTAATTTTTATGTTATGTTATGATCAATAACGTCCAAAGCTTTTGAGCGATCTAAAAATCTTCCAATGGGTGCTTAATTTTTGTCCATTGATAAAGCAATATCGTTAAGAAAAGAAAAAGAGTTTCCGTAGATTTCGATTTTCCATAACCGTGTTGTGAGTCTGAAAACTATTCGTTTTTCCTGAGAAAAGTTTCCATTTGTGTATAGAAAAGCTTCTCTAATATTTTTGAGAAACCGACAAAAGATAATTTGGCCGCAAATTTTGAATTTAACTTTTGTTCCCTTTTTAAAAAGTGGTTGAAATTTTGCTCTTTTTGAAAATATCTTCAAATATTCCTGTGCATAAAGCAGCATTGAAAATGTGAATTAACGGGTGTCTAAAGGCAGGTACACAAGTTTTGAAATCGCACCCGCAAATTCATTTAAACCAGATTAATATTTATTTTTTAATTTACTGACTATTCTCAGGATTTCGTTAGAAGAAGTTTAAGAAGTTAGAATAAACATCGTGTCAAAAATTTTTGGAAAGGTTGTGATGGTGAATTTTGGGGTTTTAGACCCTTCGTGAGTTGAGCCACAATTCTAGAAAAGTGCGTTAATATTTTTATGTACAATTTTGCTTGAGAATTTAAATCCTCGTGATTTTTAGTATCTTTTCCATTATCTCCCATCTGCAAATTACTTTCCTCATCCCATGATTGCGGACTATCTGTCAACTAGTAGGATTTATTTTTATCTCGGAGGTTTCTCTGGGCCGCAAAGCTACGTAATGCAGCTG